CGAAACCCTGAACCCTAAACCCTTCCGCCACCCAATCAAGCTTCCGACAAACCTGTCGTATTCAAAAATTAGGATGGCGACTGCCGTGTGGAGCCGGAACACGTGGGAAAGATGTACAGGTGCATGCAGGAGCGGTTTTAGGGTTTAGGGTTTCGGGCTTCATGGCTTGTGTGAATGCCTGCTCTCGTTCCCACTGCTCCGACAGCAAATGAAAGAATCATAGCAAGCACGTTCGTCTGTCTGTTTGCCTGCCTGTTTGTCTGTTTGCCTGCCTGCATGCATGTTTTGATTGGTGAATTTATGTGCAAACACAGTCATGCACAACTAGCTGCTCTATCAATGGTTGTGCTGTTCATGCATATGTCTAGCATACATACACAGTTGCTTGCATGCTTGTCTTTGCGGGATTTCCGGCAACAGGGGTGAGGGCTCTTGGCTCTTGCCTGCTGGGCAGTGCTTGTTTGGGGTCTGCGGCCTAGGTTAAGGCCGCTGACTTCTCGCACATGATCCACTTCATGAACTCGTAAACCCCGATTCCGACAGTCGGACAACCTACCTATAGTCTCCATTGTAGTTCCTTTTCTGGTGTAACCAATTATATATATATATATATATATGTTTAGGGTCCCATACGGTAATCCTAAAAGGAACGACAATGGAGATTATGGGTAGGCACTGGTCACAACGAGCGTGTACGTTGCTCTTACCACTGGCCGTCCTTCGTTCGTTCGCTGAAGACTCCAAATGTTGTGCCCTCACTATATTACAAATTCTAGTCAGATCTGGTGTTCCTCATTGCAGTACAGGTCGCCCTAGCACGGGGGCCTGAATAATTGATGAAATTGTTCCTTGGCCTGATGTCCTTAGGCACGAAAATGGCCCCTACCTTCAAGGGTTAATTGGTGCCTGCGGCCCTACTTGGAGGGTCGGAGGACTTAGTAAGTAGGTAATAAGTAGAGTTATCAGTGCCCAAAACGGGATCCTGATTGGGGTTATGGTACTTATAACTCTATAAAAGTAACTACTTACTAAGTCCCCCGACCCTCCAAGTACACCCTTCAAGCCCTAAACCCTCACAAAGATGGCCCTTGTCGCGCAGGATCAGCATTTGGCAGCCTGCGGTCCCTTTCTCCTGACCAAGAAGTGCCTGGGAATAGTTTGGAGTCCTTAATCTCAAATGTAGGGGTCGGATACCCTTACGCCTTACACTATGAATCCGTATATGGTACATGAATAGTGCCTTCTCCTCATTTGGGATTCATTTCGTCGTTTCGTTTGCGCAGGCTTTTGGGTTCAAGAGGTGGGTACCGGCGAGGTCGGTTGTGTAGCTCTTGTAACCTGTGCTCTCCGGACAGCTTCTATTTCTTTAGGAACAGTATATACGTGCTGGTGTCACAGGTTCAAAGGTTCAGGGTATGCGGCTTCGGGGGCCTTCTATTTCTTGTTATGTAAGCACGAAAGAGCCATCGTCATTGAACACCAGATGACCCTTAAAAGTAAGGGCTTTATACCCTTACCTTTATGAACCCCTAATATTGTACTTGCACCTTAAACCCTTTTTGGGTTAGTTTCGTCCAAATGGGGGTTTCCGAAAATAGGGGACCCTGATTTAGTACCCTAAATAGTAGGATCCTCATTATAAGGACCCCAAAATAAGGTACCCCTAATTTTCGGAACCTCCCAAATTGGAAGCTGAGGTCCCACAACTTCTGCCTCCTGGTCCAGCTGATGCGGGACTGGTTCTCGCAGCGGATGCTATGGTTGGGCCAGAGTGCTATTCGCTTCCAACTCCCGCTGAACGGCTCCTGCGCGATGTATGCCATGGAAACTCGGCAACTATGAAGGGTTATGGATGCTGAGGGCCCGCGTCAGAGCTATGTTCACGACGGCAAGCTGATGTTTTTGGTGGGCTCGAGGGGCGTCTTTGATGGGTGTGGAGGGTTGAGGACAAGGTGCTAGCTGGGCCAAGGGGAAACCCTAAACCCTAAACCCAAAGTAGTTCCAAACGCCCAGGGCAAAAGAGTCCCCGGGCCCCGAGCCAGGCCTCAACCCACAAAGCCTCCTGGCAACATCTCAGGACACTGTACGAGCTGTTCAGACAGACTTCTGCCGTGGAGTCTATGAGGACTCGATTCTCGATTCCATGATGACTCTGGGCGCAGGCTTTAGCATATGCTCTCAGATTTGTGTTATGGGGCTCCAGTCAGGGTTTAGGGATATTCCTAGGAGAGGCCGATTGTCGTGATTGCCACAGCGCTTCTAAGAGCAGCTCAGGATTGAAATGGGAGAAGACAGCTTCATGACAAACCTTGTCCACGAGAAGTACCAGAAGCTTGGCGGCTTATGGATTAAGAGTTCATGTGCCCGAACAGGATATACTTTGGCCCCAAAGTACCTGTGTAGGGATTCCTGAAGCCCAAAGTATATACCCTTTTTTACATGAAATCCGAGGGTTGGGGTGCAATTCGGGCTTTTGGCTGCCAGGATCTTCCTGAAAGAAAGGGACCCCAAAGATGACTTTGTGGCATTTGGGGGTTTGGGGCAAAGATACGTCCTAAGCCTTCTAACATAACCCTAAACCTTAAACCCTAAACCCTCACCCTAAGCCCTGCACCCTAAGCTCCATAGACCTTTGTCAAGGGCTTCTGCATGAGAAAACTGCACACTGATTTCAAGATGTATACGTGGGTCTGTGTGTGTGTGTGTACATGTGTGTATATCTGTATGTATGTATGTATGTATGTATGTATGTATGTATGCATGCAAGCATGCATGCATGTTTCTATGTATGTACGTAGGTAGGCAGGTATGTATGCATGTATGTGTTATATGTTATATGTTATATATTATATGAGTGTGTGTGTGTGTATAGGTATATGTATATGTATATAGACATGTGGTTGTGTACACACATGTACATTACTAGGGCCATTGAGTAGTAGTACAGTATCCCTTGCGATCAGTAGATTTGAGGGAACGCTCTGTCATTGCCAACAGTGTTGGGGGTAGCTTTTAGGGTGCTTGGCGCTGTAGGGTTGCAAGGTCTGTGTGTTTCGAGTTGTGTTGTTTACCGGCTGTCAGGCTCTAGAGTGACATTGGCAACCAGCGAGGTCACAAGCTTGCAGGCAAGAGCTCTGCTTGAAACCCAAACCCAACCCCTTCACAACGAATCCCTTGAGTGGGCAAGCCACCATGACTCAACCCAAGAGCATAACATTTCAAGACTGCCACACCGTTTGCTTGCCCTTGACTGGCTCTGATCTTAACCTTTGGCATTTAAGAGGGTCAGGGACTTGTTCGTGTATTGAGTGTGTCGTCTGTTCGCGGTTGCTGAGGAACGGCGGTGGTATTCGGTTTCTCGGCAGCGTTTCATGTAAAGCTACAACAGCTCCCAACCCTCAAGACCTTCAACCCAATCATCTGGATCTAGCTCGGTTTGTAATCCTTCTCGGCAGTTAACTTGCGCAAAAGAGAAAGTTTCCATTTATGTTGGGCTCATGTTTTCTGTCAGAAGCACTTTGCTTCTCGAATAAACGTTACCATGAAACCCCACAGCTGAGCAGTTCTAAACATGACCCGGCACTGCTAAAGCCTCTTCCCCCAAACCTCAAGCCCTACATCTGAGGTGCGATTCCCCCAATGTTTGTGAACCTCGACACAGCTTCAAAAGCCTGGGCTCGAAATTGAATTTGGGATGTAGGTGGTCCTCGAGTTGTCTAGCAACAGGGATGGAAAGTCGGAAAGCTGCGTGCCCTAAGCTGCTCAAGTACGACTTAAATTTGCAGACCTGGGCGTCTCCGCCAAGCCCTCTATGCTGTTTCAGTTTCTGGTCGGGCCACTGTAAATCAAATCGTGGCTTAAGAGTCCATGACATGCCTTGGGCCACAGGGGCTAGCCCACATCGTAGCTTCAGGTCCACATGCCTACACCAAACCCTAAACCCTAAACCCTAAACCTTAAACACTAAACCCTAACCAAGCAGGTTTCTGCCCCACTGTTGGGCCACATCCTTCATGCCGGAGACCTGGAGCGAGTACCTCGCGCAACAGTGCCGATGGAAGCGCTCGCACATGGGACGCTGGGTCGTGAGGTAGTGTTAGGGAGACCCCTTAAAGGGGACCCTTCTTAATCCTACTTTTGGCTCCCTTAAAAGGGTGCATATTGAGAGGGTCGATATCCCAAGGGTCCCCCTAATCCTGACTCCTAAGTTTGGGGCAAGTATGCTCGATGGCTGGACTGAAGGCTTAGCGCTTAGTTTTTGTTGCTCGGTTGTGTGTCAGTTCAGCTGCAAGTTTAGCTGCTGTGGCTTGGATCGCCCCACCTCAACCCAAAACGTCTTCGGTTCTCGAGATCTGGAAAAGGCCTTGGGAACCCCCCCAAGCCCGGTGTTATCGGCGCAAGAAAATGATATAGGACTTGTGTGTGTGTGTGTATGCATATCTATATCTATATCTATATCTATATATATATATATATATATTTATTTATTTATTTATATTTGTTTCTAT